CTCTAACAGGGCAACGAGGGGAGGATCGCCGGGTAGGATTATGCTATGCGATGCTACTTGGAGGACTTCAGTCTACTCTCTTCTACATGCTGCAAGACGGAGGCTGCCAGAAGCGTAGTCTTCGACAGGATTAGCTATCCCCCTCTTATTCTGGCATTCTGCAGTTCAGTCCATCGATATGGCCCTTTACACATATACCCATGCATATGTAGTGTAGCTCCTTGCTTGCGAGTACTTTGGATGAGTACTCACGGTTGCCTTTCTTCCTCTTTTCCCCCTTTCCCTTCTACCTGGTTGCCGCAACCAGATGCCGGAGCCCAGGATCTAGACGCCACCGTTGACGACGACTCCTACTACACCGGAGGTGCCTACTACTATGTGCAGCCCGCTGACGACGACCAGGAGTAGTTAGGAGGATCCCAGGCAGGAGGCCTGCGCCTCTTTCGATCTGTATCCCAGTTTGTGCTAGCCATCTTATGGCAACTTGTTTAACTTATGTCTGCACTCAGATATTGTTGCTTCCGCTGACTCGTCTATGATCGAGCACTTGTATTCGAGCCCTCGAGACTCCTGGCTTGTATTATGATGCTTGTATGACTTATTTATTTTTAGAGTTGTGTTGTGATATCTTTCCGTGAGTCCCTGATCTCAATCGTACATGTTTGCATGTATGATTAGTGTATGATTGAATCGGGGGCGTCACATGTTTGGATTCATTTTGAACAGGTTTTTGCATTTGTGTTTTTTGTAATATAGTTGCTTTGTTTTGGTAGACAGTTGCTTGGATTATTTTGCTAGAACAATTTTTATTTTATGTTTTCTTTGTAATTGACTTGTTTTGGATTTTTGTTAGAATGGATAAGTTGCATGGGGAGGGGAGGGGGGGTAAGATAGTTGTCCACAAAGGCTATTCAAGTTGGTCATACGTTTTTTCTGCCTAAAGTAGACAATCTAAGTAGGAATGCTAGGGACAGTTGCTTGGTTTTGCTAGGACAATTTTTTCATAGTTGTTATTTAGTAATGCAGTTGCTTGAATTGGATAGTATAGTTGCTTGGTTTTGTAGGATAGTTGCTTGGTTATGCTAGAATAATTTTGCATTGCTATTTGGTAATACATTTGCTTTGTTTTTCTATAAACAATTTTGCGTTGCTTTTTGGTATTACAATTGCTTGGATTTTCTAGGACAATAGCTTGGATTTTTTTGCTAGGAATAGTGGCTTTGGATCTTGCTAGAACAGTTGCGTGGATTTCTGCTAGGGGCGGCAGTTGCTTAGAGTTTGCTAGAACAATTGTTATATGCAAATGTATATAGTTGCATACACACACAAGATGAGTTGGACTTGCACACATTTTCTTGATTTTCTCATTCTACACAAACCAATCAATAGGAAACACACATGAGTTGCTTGTTGAATGCACTAGAATTGCACGAAAACACCCCAAAAATTGCTAAAAAAAATTATGTGATACTCAAGTGCATAACGATATGAAAGTTATTGTTCCCGTTTTGCCTCCAATAACCCCATCAATGGTGAACTTAGACTTTTACATATGTAGCACTAAAGGTGCATCATGTTGTGTTTGTGATTTTCTCATTTTTTACACAAACCAACCTAATAGGCGGTCCTATTGGAAAAAAATTGAAGTTGCTTTTCTATAGCACTAAAGTTGCCTCCATCGTATCCAAAGTTGCCTTAAAAAAAGTTCGACAAAACGTATCTATATGAGATCTAGTTTCGAAGAACTTGTCGCGAGAAAGCCAAATGTGAAATCAAAATTGAATTTCGACACTTAAATCAGAAGTTACAGTTTTTTAAACTTTTTGGATCCCCAAATAAATGCACGCGAGGACATGGTTTTTTTAGTAAACTGCGGTCGTCTGCGTCAGCTGCAATTTTCCATATTTAGATGAGCGCTAGTTCCTACCAGTGGGCGCTCGGGCGCCCACTAACCATGTCGAATAATCTAACTAATTCCTTGACGTGCAAGTGTCTGTCTGGTTGACTAGCTAGATAAGTTTTTGTGAACGGACCAACACCAACGCTCATGACACGAACGTCGTCGCCGGCTTCTCATGTGAGACGTCTCGGTTGCCATCAGGTTAGGCTGTGCGATCCGGACACGAACACCCTGCGAGCTTGACTTCCCATGCCTGTGCGTAGATGCCACGGGACTGCCGTGCATGCATACTAGTCTTCTCCTTTGGAGGTCAACCGGTAAGGCGAGTTGACCGTTCGCCGTCTACTTCCATGAAAGATACCTTCGGCTCGACTATCTCTAGACGCTGACCACGGCCCGGTTGAAAATTTCGAAGGAAGAAACGTTTCTGGCTTCTCCCTGATAAAATAGCACTAGAGCTATATGTAAGTCGCTAAAAAAAGTTTTCTCGTATGTGTGTTTAGGCTGATTTTTTACTTACCCTGTTTTGGGTAAGTCAATATTTTTCATAGGATTTCCCGCAAAAAATAAAAATAATAATTAAATCATAGGCTGAATTTTTTACTTAACCTTGTTTGCGCTAAGTCAATTTTTTTCTTAGGATGAATTTTTTGACTTGCTCCTGTTCGAGGTAAATCGATTTTTTTATGTGAAGCCCGTTATACATTACCTGTTTTTTAAGCATTTTTGCCTTTGATTTTATTTTTATTTTTTAGCCTGTCTTTTTTGCATGGGTACTTTTTACATGTTGAATGAGTGCAAATATATACACTCAAGTACTATAGAGCATGTGTGTAAATCACACTAGAGTGTGAAAATTACTCTATTCTACGTTTATTCATTGCATATTTAAAAGGTGCAATTTTAGTGCAAAGTTGTGTGCAAGCTATTTTGATTTTCTTCTTAAAGAGTGGTACCAATGCCACTAGTTTATTCTTCCTTAAAACTTCATTATTTTAATTTTTTTAGTTTTTATTTTAGTTTATTACTTCTTTAAGGGAAAAATACAGATGCCACTAACTCGTTCCTTCTTAGGAAACTTCTTATTTGCAAAAATTCCACTATTATATGCTCATTGTTGCAGATTATGAAAATTTACAATTTTTGTCATTATTTTTTCACATTATTTTATTCTTAAAGGGTAATACCATTGTCACTAATTAATTCTTTCTCAGAAAACTTATGTTTTGCAAATGTTCAACTATTATATGCTTATTCTTGCACATAATGAAAAAGCAAAAAAATTGTGTAAATTTTGTGGATTTTTTTCCATTATTTGTTTCATTTCCTTTTTTAATTTGCTTCATCTTAAAGGGTAATATGAATGTCAATAATCCATTCCTTCTTAGAAAACTTCATTATTTTGATTTGTTGTAGTTTTTATTTCATTTTCTTTCTTCTTAAAGGGTAATACCATTGCCACTTATTTATTCTTCCTTATAAAACTTCATTCTTTTGATTTTGTTTTAGTTTCTTTTCATTTTTCATTCTTCTTTGAGGGTAATGCCAATGCCACTAACTTATTCTTCCTTATAATATCAATGCCACTAATTCATCTTCCTTGTAAAATTTATTAGTTTGATTTTTAAAAAATTTCCATTTTCTTTCTTCTTTAAGGGTTATAAAAATGCCACTAATTAATTTCATCTTAGAAACCTGTGTTTTGCGAAACTTTCACAATTATAGACTTATTCTTGTATTTTTCTAAAAAAATCGCATTTTTGTGCAAATTGTGTTATTATTTGATTTTTTATATTTTATTTATTTTCAAGTGTAATACCAATACAACTAATTCATTCCTTCTTAGCAACTACTAATTCATTGGTATTACCATTAACTCATTTTTTCTTAGAAATTTAATTATTACCATATCACCAGATATGCACCCGGGGCCAACTTTATATTTCTAGATTGTTTTAGCCTTTTAGGCATCTGATTTAGGAGGGTGATGGCAGATTGTGCTGGCTATCCAAATCTCTATCAAGATGCGTATGTATTTTATTTTGCTTGGTATTCCCTTTATAAAAAAATATAAGAGCGTTTAGATCACTATTTTAGTTATCTAAAACACTCTTATATTTCTTTACAGAGGGAGTACATCATACAAGGATGACTTGCAGTTTTCTATCCAAGATATGATGTTTACTGTTTTGCACAATATATGTATGCTATGTAAAATAGCTTATATCAGTCGTTATTTTAATTAATGAGCTGTTGTACCGGTGATGTAAAATCGCGTTGTGTGTATCTAATATGATAAGCTTTGATGTATTGTCCATGTTGAGCTTAATACTATGACGCATCATCCAGAGGTAATAGTAGATGACTGATCATTCGTACTCCCTCCTTCCATCTATATAGGGCCTAATGGTTTTTTCGAGGCTAACTTTGACCAAATATTAGAGCAATAATATATGACATGCAACTTACACAAAGCATACCATTAAATTCATGCGTGGAAGGAGCTTTCAATGATATAATTTTCACATTGTGCATGTCATGTACTATTAATCTTGTCAATAGTCAAAGGCGGTCTTAAAAAACGCATTAGGCCCTATATAGATGGAAGGAGGGAGTAGCTTTCTTTTGGTAATAACTTATTGAACCTTGCTTTTGATATACCATGCTTTCCTATTAATAAGGGGCATGTAGTACGGATCACTTCGTTTTTATGAACCTTTAATAAGCCATGTTTTACCGGGCTGGATATGGCTGGGGCAGGCGGTGCGGCAAGCCGCACTTCCTATTAGTTGCACAAATACAGCCCCATGTAACGCATGCAGCAAGGCCTGATAGCCATGGCTCAGCCAAGTGGCCATATAAATAGAAAAGCAGACAAGTGGCACATAAACATCGCATGATGAGGTTGTAGGAACACTCCGGACAAACCATCCATCTACAGTAGTACCCTACTAGTATTATACTAGTGTTTGTACTTGGCGCTTGAAGTCTGGTCTAGTTTATTGTTCATTGCAGCAGGCAAAGTACAGCAAACCCAAGAAAAGGACATCTTGAGCAAATGGCAGCTCCAACTATGAAAAGCGATACCCATTAGGTCTTCTCATTCCTACAAAATCAAATCATATGAACATTGTTAGAGTACACGTATAATTTGTGTACCATAAACGCAGAAGATACCATGTTATGCACAATTACAAATGAAGGTTAGGATGGCATACCACAGTGATCGTTCCGACAGGTTTGGCAATTTCTATCTTCTCACTGATATCATCACAGAATTCGGGTTTTATCCTCTGAATAAATAAATGATATGCGCTTAGCACAATGGTATTTTTGACATAAGCGTGTATATAGCAAAGATGCAATTTCATTCAACAGTACATACCGGCTTTTTAACTGCCTCTGCAATCAACTCCTGAGCTTTATCCTCTGATACCTAAGGCAATCAGACATGAAATCAAATCAAATATAAGAACATATAATCCACTGGATACAATCCCACATGCATATCACAGTACTTGATTGAAAACTGAAAAGATGAAGGAAGCAAGCAGAATAGATAACCATGCATGTTACAAAAATGTTTTAGACTTGAAGGAGTATCGAAGAAGAGCCTACCATCCATTCCCTCACAGAACAGTCCTCCTCTAAGGCATATTTTATGCTATGTTGGAATGACGGACACTTGTTCAGCTTATAATCGTCCTTCAAAGTATCTGTGGAACTATCCTGTGCATTGCAATTAGAGCACACATATAACTTGGTTGCCATGAACAGAGAATATATCAAATTAGGCGCAATTACAAACAAATATTAGGATAGTGTACCTCAGTAATCATTCCTATAGCTTTGGCAATGTCGATCTTCTTTCTGATATACCCATCATAGAATTTGGGTTTTATCCTCTGAATAAAAAAAATGATTTTCGCTTAGCATAATGGTATCTTTGAAATAGGCATGGATATAGCAAGATGCAATTTCATTCAAGCACAGTACCAGCTTTTCAACTGCCTCTGCAATCAACTCCTGAGCTTTATCCTCTGGTACCTAAGGCAATCAGACGTGAAAACAAATCAAATATACAAACACATAATCCACTGGATCAATCTCACATGCATATCACAGTACTTACTTCCTTTGTAATGCCTGCCCCTACCGTGCAACGAAGAAACTGAAAAGATGCAAAAGAGATAAGCATGCATGTCATGAATTTTAGACTTGAAAATTATCTGTGAAGAAGAGCCCACCGCCGTTTCCATCATGGAACAGTCATGCTCCATGGCATATTTTATGCTATCTTGTAGTGATGGACACTTGTTCAGCTTATAGACTTCCTTCAAGCTATCTCTGAAACTCTCCTGTGCATTGTCGAGGAAAAAAAATACATTACCAAGCATGTACAGAGTTCATTAACACCAGGAATTAATCAGAATTACATGGATAATCAAAGAGTGTGCAGGACACTGGTTTACAGTGCTGAATGTTAACCTTCTGTTGAGTGACCCGCTTCCAAATCTCGAAATAGAGACCATCGGACCCGTTACACCAAGTAGCCTCAATGCTCATGTAGTTAAAACAATCCTGCATAGAAAGAATGGAACTGTTAGATGCAAAACACACAAAAAATACATTAGTGAGTGTGTTAGAGATCATACACGGAAGCCAATACGAGCTAAATGAGTTGTGATCTTGGAAAAGCGAGTGGCGATCTTAGTTGCTTGATAAATTCCTCTGGTGCGTATCTTGCCTACCTAATAAAGAACAAAGGAATTACCATGGTGGTGCAGCATATACAGAAACATTGCCATTCATGATCTTTTGTGTGGTCATGCACTTACAGTAAGAGGTGAAAACTTGCTCGGTAGACAATCTTTCAACCACTGTACCAAGAATAGAAAAAATGGTTTAGTCCCCGAACAAAAATCCAATCGTTGCAGGTAGCTAGTCTTGCTTGACTTGCAATGCATGTATACCTTAAGTTCCCTTAATAATGTTTCGAAGTACTCGATGTATTCATGTTGCATCTCGTAGCTATGGAGGTAACCGCGGTACACAACCCAACCAGCGTACTCATAAGCACTCTGCATCAAAATGAAGGGAAAGAGGGTGGTCAGAATGTTTTATAGAATGACAATTATAACATACTCCCTCCATTCACAAATATAAGATGTTCTAACTTTTTTCTGAATTGGATGTACATAGACACGTTTTAGTTTGTTCACTCATTTCAATCCGTATGTAGTCTATTAAAATATCCAAAACATCTTATATTTGTGAACGGAGGGAGTAACAAACTGTAAATAGCAAGGGGCGGAAAACAAAAGGGTTTGATATAGGGCTAGCAAAAACATACTATATTATTCATAAAAGTAAACAAATCTGTTGGTTCCTTTAAAATAAACTACCATTTCCAACAGGAAAAAATGCATATGACTACTATACTAAAAAATGGTGAGCCTCTATTAAGGCAATAAAGTGGAAAGAAAAATATTCTGGATTGGGGCTATGTTAAAGTAGTTGATTAGCCGGTTTTCAGAGGCCGATGATTTGATGATATACATTTTCCAGCATATAACACTATGAAATGTCCATCCAAGATGACAATTAACACTCTGTAGATGTATCATGAACTCATCAGTAACTGTGTATATTGCACTGCAATCTAGATCCTTAAATAAGTAGATAAATAAATAACTTTTCAACCCTTTCTGGAAGTAGTCCACATAATGTCTCACTTGTGTATATAGCATGGTTTCCAAATTCAGAGAAATGGACCTAACTAGCCATACTAACACAATGGAACACCTAAGGCAATTAAATGATCACAGGAACACTCGGTTATCAAATTATATACGTACATGCTTCCGAGGGACTAGACGCTGGTAGTCATTCACGCAAGCAAGCTTGCAGAGATCAGGGTCGAAGAACCAGTCTAATATGCCGTCATTGTCGAAGAAGCTAAAATATCGCATCTTCACAAGGAAATCTGTAGGAAATTCTTCTCTGTCAAGAAGCTCCATAGGGCACTCTTTCAGTTCATCACAGCACAACTCATTATTGGACTCCTTTTTTAACAACTGTAGGCAATGATATCACCACTGGATCAAATTAAATATGGATGGGAGTTTAAAGAAACCAGCATAAGTAGGATAGAACAAGTAACATAAAGTCACAAGGAACACAGATGTACAGATTGAACAACTTCTAATAGATGACTGAAAAACAGAGGCATGGATGGATCGAACCTTGTAGGATCTGATGCGATACACCGCATGGCGGAGGTCCATGTTAAAGTAATCCTCAAGGTTCAATTCAGTGTAGGTATCAACACGGGGGTCGGGAGGCAGCTGCTGCAAGTATCCATAGTATTCCTCAAACTCGATGTCCTCTCCCAAGCCCAGTTCGTTCAGCTTCTGGATTATGTCGCCCACATCTTCATCTACCTGTGTTGCGGCATATACTTGTTTCTGTTCCTGGATAGCACCAGTGTTGCCATGGTCATGAGCATCGATGGGACGACCGGTACCCGCATCGGAACAGCGGTAACTTGTTCTTGTTCTGAGTTGTGGAGATGTTCTTTTCGCTGGAAAAGATGTATTGCTTTTTGTGTGCTTCTTCTCTACAGAAAGACGCTCTTTTCGCTGGATACCATGTGTATGTGGGCAGAGCTGATCAGGGGGGCACGTCTTCTTCTCTGCACTATGCTTCTGTTGATTCGAGCCTGTATCCACCTTCTCCATTCGCCTCTGAGACATCTCTCTGGCAAGACATGCTTCAGTCTTGAAAGGCCACATATCCTGATTCTTCTCCTTTGCATTATGCTTCTGCGGATTCGAGCCTGTATCCACCTTCTCCATTCGCTTCTGAGACATCTCTCCGGCAAGACATGCTTCAGTCTTGAAAGGCCACATATCCTGATCAGAAGTGCACGTCTTCTCCATTGCATGATGCTTCTGTGGATTCGAGCCTGTATCCACCTTCTCCATTCGTTTCTGAGACATCTCTCCGGCAAGACATGCTTCAGTCTTGAAAGGCCACATATCCTGATCAGAAACGCACGTCTTCTCCATTGCACCATGCTTCCGTGGAACCGGACCTGTATCCACCTTCTCCCTTCGCTTCTGAGACATCTCTCTGGCAAGACGTGATTCAGTCTTGACAGGCCGCTGGATACCCTGTATATGATGGCGGAACTGATCAGAGGGGCACATCTTCACCTTTGCATTATGCATGTGTGGAATCAAGCCTGTATCCACCTTCTCCTTTAGCTTGTGCGACAGCGACGGCGATCTCTCCTTTCCAAGGTGCTTCCGTGACAACAGAGAGCTTGAGCGTGTGTCTGCCATCTCCTTTCCACGAAGCGACGGCAACCTGTTCAACCCCCTTTGTCGGATTCGATCAGGATGTGCTAAGGGCTCCTGCACGATGTTCTCGTCTGCAAAGACCTGCTTCGGCTGCATGGCGATCGTAGCCGCCTTGTCCTTGACGTGGTACGGCATCGCGCTCGCAGCTGCCGTGCCCTTTGAGTGGTTCGGCATCGCGCTGGTAGCCGCCTTGTCCTTTCCGTGGCACTGCTGCATCTCTCCAAACCCTAACCTACAATGGAGATGAACACACAACATCAATAATGTTACAAAAAAAACATCCAGACAAAAACAAATTGGGCTATAAGGTCACAGAGGGGTACCGGCGGTGTTATCAGTGGCGATCCGAGGCGTTCCCTCGACAGACGGCGATCCGAGGCGTTCCCTCGACAGACGGCGATCCTGGAGAGGGCGCAAACCTGGAGGCCGTGCTTTTAAGGTCGATCGGTGGGCACGGATCTTTAGGTCGGGCATGGCCCGGCACGAGAATAAAAAGGGTCGGACACGGCCTAGGTCTGGCACGCCCTTTTATTCACGGCCCAGGTCCGGCACGCCACGGCCCATATATGGCACGCGGCACCACCACGCCGCTCTTGTCTGTCGGCCCTTTTAACACTGTTTTTTCCTTCCAATCGGCGCTTCAGGAGAGCTCCTAACCGGGAGCTCCTAAACCGCGCCTTTAGCGCCGCTGACGCGTCCTTGCGCCCACGCGATGCCCACTTGGGCCTGGCCCAACAAGGCTCGGGACGCGGTGTAGCGGGAAAACAGCAAAAAATGTGGTCCTTTCAGGATTCGAACTCGCGCCAATGCCTTCCTGTACGAGCCCCCGTCTAATAATTAAACCAACTCAACTACAGTGAATGATAAAAGCGCCAACAGTATAACAGCATGCAGCCGCGCTATTTATTGCATGTGTTGTATCACTTAAATTTTCAGAATAATACAAAAAGATCGTGAAGTTGAATAAGTTCATTATTTTTTAAGAAAAGTTCACAAAATTGAAAAAAAATCATTGATTTTGAATAAAAGTCCATCAAATTTACGATAAGTTCATCAAATTTGGAAAAAAAAGTTCATCAAATTCGAAAAAGTTTATCAAACTTGAAAAGAAGTTCATTGAATTTGAAATCAAGTTGAAAAACCTTATCAATTTCTAAAAAGTTCATTGATTTTGAAAAAAAGTTCATCGATTTGAACAAAGGTTCATTGATTTTGAAAAGAAAATCATCAATTCGAAAACAATTTCATCGATTTTGAAAAAAAGTTTATCAACTTGAAAAAATCATCGATTTGAAAAAACAATCATCAATTTGAAAAAAGGTTCATCAATTTGAAAAAAAAAGTTCACAATTTTGAAAAAAAATCACACACTTAGTAGAAAAGAAGAAAGAAAGAAAGTAAAAAAATAGACCCATTTCCAAGAAAAACAAAAAAAGGAGAAAGAATAAAAGGGTGAAAAAACTCAAGGAAACACGATTAGGTGAGTTGGCCGAGTGGTTAGGGCAGCACACATGTACTAGCGAGATTGCTAGGAAACGGTTTTTTGTGTTGTAGAAACAAAAAAAAAGAATTGAAAATGGGCCGGCCCAGTGCGTCGGTAGGGGGTGTGCGCCCGATTGCGTAAACACCTAAAACGGCGTTTAGGAATTGCCGCTAGTGACTTGGGTTCACTCAGTTGTTTCTAAAAAAAGGTTCGCTCAGTTTATGGTTGACCAGCCAACGATCAATCATTTGACCGTTGAGAAAAGACAGATCAGAAAAAAGTTCGCAAAATTGAAAACTGTTCGAGAATTTGGAAAAGGTTCATTAATTTGAGCAAAGTTTGTGAATTTGCAAAAAAATCTTGAGTTTGAGAGAAGTTCACAGATTGGAAAACGTTCGCGGAATTGAAAATAATTCACGAAACTGAGAAAATTTTGTGAGTGTCAAAAAAATTCATAAATTTAAAAAAGTTTACTGATTGAACGAAAGTTCATGAATTTGAGGAAAGTTCACGAGTTTGAAAAAAATCACAAAATTGAATATCATTCATGGATCTAAAAAAAGTTCCCATGATTGAAAAATGTTAAAAGAACAAAAACAAAAATAAACAAAAACCAGTAGTAAACCATAGGGAAAAACTCAAACCGACGCTAGTTGTAACATTACATGGGTCGACTCATTATGATAGGCACGTGACCGCCACGTACCAGCAAGGAACTAAATGGCGAATCAACCTGTGGTTGAGTTGGTTAGGTGGACAGTGATATCCCCAACCCAACAGGGTTCAAATCCTGGTGCTCGCATTAATCCTGGATTTATTTTAGGATTTCCGACGATGCGCTTTCAGTGGGAGGAGACGTTCTCGTCGACGACGAGGCGCCTACGGTGACTTCGTAAATCTCAAGATGATATGCCGGCTCAGTTTCTCGGAGGTGCTCATAGGGGTAGGGTATGCGTGTGTGCGTTTATAGAGATGAGTGTATGCGCGTGTATATGAGCGCTTGTGTTTGTACTGATGCTCAAAAAAAAGCAAGGAACTAAATGGCACGTTGAGCACCAAACGGAACCAGCTTTGATTTTGGTCTTTTTAGCAATATTTTGGCTTTGTGACGCCCGGATTCAATCATACACTGATTATGCACGCAAATGTGTACAATTAAGATCAGGAACTCACGGAAAGATATCACAACACAACTCTAGACACAAATTAAAATAATACAAGCTTCATATTATAAGTCAGAGGCCTCGAGGGCTCGAATACAGAAGCTCGGATACACAAGAGTCAGCCGAAGTAACAATATCTAAATACAAACATAAGTTAAACAAGTCTGCTTTAAGAAGACTAGCACAAAAGCAACAACAATCGAAGAGGCAAGACCTCCTGCCTAGGAGCTCCTAACTACTCCTCGCCGTCGACGGTTTCCACATAGTAGTAGGCACCCTCGGGGTAGTAGTAGTAGTCGACAGAGGTGGCATCTGGCTCCTGGAATCCGCCATTTGATTGCAGCAACCGGGTATAGGGGGAAAAGAGGTAGCAAAGCAACTATGAGTGTTCATTCAAAGTACTCGCAAACATCAGATCTATACTAAGTATGCATCAGTATCAAAGGAATGAGTTGTATATGTGGACCGAACTACAGAATGACAGAGGAGAAGGGAAAGCCTGGCGTATCGAAGACCAGCATCTTCAAGCATTTTGGAGCATGTAGAAGAGTAAAGAATAGCATTTTATAATTAACAAACATGTTGTAGTATTAACGCCTAGAGATCCTTTCTCGACTCCCCGCGAGAAAGCAATTGGAATGATCTAGATGACGACTAGAGGGGGGTGAATAGGCGTTTTAAAACTTTTACAGATTTGGCTTTATCCTAATGCAGAATTAAACTGACGGCTATTTTTCAAGCACAAATCTCAAATATGCTATGCTCAACTAAGTGCACCAACAACCTATGCTAAACAAGATAGGCACCGAAGAAAACTAGCAAGCACAAACTATATCACAAGATATGGAAATGTAGGAACAACTAAACAATTCAACTAGCACAAGATATATCAATATGAACAAGTATGAATTATGGAAAGTAAAGGGTGTGGGTATGAGATAACCACAAGCGAGTCGGGGACACGGATTTATCCCGAAGTTCACACTCGTGAGAGTGCTAATCTCCATTAGAGCGGTGCTGAAGCCAAAGGTCCGGGATGTCACCAAGTGACTCACTGTATTCACACTTTCGAGTCGCCCCCAATGGATGAGCCCCGATTCACTCGGGGAGTGGTCTTGAAGACGACCACCACACCTTTACAATCTTCTCCAGAGCACACCACAAACACGGAAGCTTTCGGAGTAACTTGACCACCTAGGCCACTTCACACCCTTCCCCGAAGCACACCGCAAAAGGAAGCTTTCGAAGGAATGCTACCTCTTGAGCACTGCGTTGGTTTTCCCTTGAAGAAGAAAGGGTGATGCAGCAAAGTAGCGTAAGTATTTCCCTCAGTTTTTGAGAACCAAGGTATCAATCCAGTAGGAGGCCACGCACGAGTCCCTCGCACCTACACAAACAAATAAATCCTCGCAACCAACACGATAAAGGGGTTACCAATCCCTTCACGGTCACTTACGAGAGTGAGATTTGATAGATATGCACTACAAGAAATATGTCAACTTGTGACCACCACTATTGGTCACTGAATGGTCAGAAATTTCCATTTGTGACCATTTTGTGACCAAAAACATAAGGTCAAAAGCTGGCCGTCATAAACTGACTATAGCGACCTTTCTTCTGGAATGGTCGCAAACGTTTATGACCAAAATATGTCCACTGTGGCGTTTTGGTCACTAGCAACCTCCGCAGGCCACGTAGGCATCCAGCGTGGCAAGCTGATGTGGCACAAGATTCAGCTCGGTCCGATTCGGCGTTTTACATGGGCCGAGCCCATTAATTCAGCACATTTAACTTTTTTTTCTCTGTGCTTTGATTGGCTAAATGGGCCTGGCCCAACAATTAGGATTTTTTTTCTGAGATGCAGTCTTTTACAATCCATTTTTTTGGGCCTCAACCTTTTTAGAATCTGAAAGTTATATTGCTCTTTTTAGAAACAAGTCCAACATAGTTTGGGCCATGGCCTTTTTAGAGCCCAAGTATTGAGTGCAATATAAATTCTGGACATGGCCTTTTTACAATCCAATAGTGGGCCAAGCCCTCTTTTATTTACAGCCAATATTCTCAAATCAGTAACAGTACTTCTTTCCCACAATAATAACACAAGTATAGAAAACTTTCTCACACAACTTTATCTCGCATAACATTAGACAGACGAACACATATCAATAACTTATCTCCTATGTTCACAAATACATAACTTTTGGAATAGCGGCACAAGCTGCGGCAATACGAGCATTCAAAAAGTAGAAGCCAGCAAGCAATATCCATCAGGAGGTGCCTTGCATACTGCCTCCATCGAGCCTGCGAGAGAAAAAACAAGGTGAAGGTCAGTACGCATCAAGGATGCTGCTGTTCTGGGTCAAGCCAAGTCAAGCACATAAGAGAATTTAGTCAACAAAAATTAACATGTGAACATCTTTCACAATCATCATTTATAAAAAAACATATGCAAACAGTTGTACAATGGTTGAGTGCTCATACTTCTATTATATCAGGCAATAGCATTTACCAATAGTGATGATCAGTGCAATAGGAACATGCAAACAGATGTACAATAGGAACATGTCATGTATCTTTCAAATATGCAAACAACTGCACAACTAGCTCTAGTATACCGCCATGCATGAGCACTTTTTAATATTTATATTCATCACAGCAACCTATAACCACCTATGCTTACAAATCAGAAAGTAGACATATATACTGAACAAAAGCAACAGCCAGGAATAAATGACTTAACAGTTCATGTTTGTTAACAAAACAAGAGTGGACATCTCACAGTGAGTTAACTATCCGATGAATTTAGTAAAACAAAGACTAGCATTCGG